TGGGCAGGCGGGCCTGGGGCCCCGCGGGGGCCGGCGAGTCGGGCCCCCCCGGGCTCCCCGGGCCCTCGTAGTCCGTGGTGACGCTGGTGATCTGGAAACTACTCTTCTTCTTGCCCCCGCTCATGTCCCTGGGGCTCAGCACTGGCCAAGGTCGGGCGGGCTGGGGCTCCGTGAGGGGCTCAGGCACCCCTGGAGCAGCGGGGCCACGTGGTGGGGGCGTCCGGGCCCCTGGGGACCTCGGGGTCCGACATGGTCGGAGGGCCTTGCGGGAACTGGGGGTGCCTGCTCGCGGAAGGGAGAAGAGGGGAGGGGAGGCGGCGGAGGGGCCGGGGCAGGTTTTTCCTGCTGCTGTGGCTGCCGCACTCCAGAGCTGAGTTTGCAAACTGGAAAAAGAGAGGGGGTGAGAGAGTGTGTGAGAAAGCGGTGGGCCGGCCACCTCCGGGGCTTCCTCTCCGGGGAGCAGAGTCGGGGAGGAAGGGGAAACCGCCAGAGACCCAGAGACAAAGAGACAAGCAGAGACGACAGAGACCGGAGCAGAGAGGACGAGACCCCAGAAGGCAGGAAGAGGCAGCAGAGCCCCAAAGTTGGGCGCTTCTTGCCTGGGACCCAAACTCAGGGACCCCGCATTGTCCCACGAGCCTGGGCTCCGGGCCGGGCGAAGCCGAGCGAAGCGGCTCCCCGGCCCAGCCTGGCCGCCCCGGGCCTCGAAGCCCAGCACCCCGGCTCCCACGTCTCTGCCGCCCAGAGCACCCTGCCCGGTCCAGAGCTCTACCTCTCAGGCCTCGGCCACTGAGCTGAGCCGCCGGGGGTCCTGGCCCCAAGATGTCGGGCTGTCCTTCTCCTGGGGCCTCCTGGCCCCGGCAGAGAGGGGCGCACAGGCGGCGATCAGAGGCTGCCCGATCCTCTTGGGGGGCCACAGCTCACCCTCGGCGGCACCCCTGTGGAAAGTTTGCTCTCCAGAAAAGAGGGAACCCGCACCTCCTCGGCGGAGCCCAGGTGCGGCCTCTGAAGTCCCGAGGGTCTCCTGGCCGGCGATGTTGGGGGGAGGCTTGGCCCCCACGACTCCAGGCGGCGGCCGGCGAGCGCGTCTCCCAAGTCTCCTCCCGCCTGGCCCGGCCGGATCCGTGTCTCTGCACCTCCGCTCCTCTGGGTCTCTGTCTCTCCGTCTTTCTCTTTCTGGGCTGTTGACAACCCCCACACCAGGAAGTCCTGCCTCCTCGGGCCTGCTGACGGCTCTTCTCCTCCTCCTCCTCCTTCCCCTCTTCCTCCCCTTCCTCCCGCCCCCCCTCCCGGGGCTCCCTGCCCGCTGGCGGGGGGCCAAGCCTG